TCCTACTAAGATGGTCGCCCAGGCCTGGGCAACCGCCACAAGTTGTCTTGAACCGCGCGACCTCAACATAAATCCTGTACCCCTCAAGCCTCTAGGTATCCAGCTGCTCGTTTCCCTCCAACCCTGCTCTAATTATCGCCAGATGTGGGCCAAATTCGGCAGGCATTCGACATGGTTTGCCGGTGCAGAAGGCTGCCTGTGTTGCTCGAGACATACATGGGTTAGCTTCACCAAACATTACACTGCTCATTTGATTGAGAATGAATTCAGAAAATGTCCGCAAGAGCTTCCATCTAGTTCGCGCCGAAGTTGACAAATATATGGCCTTGTACGATGTTTGTCTCAAGTCAACCTTGACAACCCATTGGCATTCACTGATTCATTTCCAAAGGAATCCTCGGACCCAGAAGTCATTTCTAATCTCGTGGACCGGATATTGCAATGGTTTAAAGCATGGGCACCTTTAGACGAGTACGTCGCGTCTTATATCGCTCAGTTTCTCAACCAAACTCTTTCAGGATGGGCCAGACGATGCGTTCGGCTTATGTTCTCACATTCCGAACCCAAATGTTTGCCATATTACCTCCTACATTCGTGGACGGCTTCAAGGCCTTATGTGTCTCTACATTGCCTTCTGCCGATTCCGACACCCCTGCCATACCCAGTAAAGCGCTCTGGGAAACTCTAGAAACTCTAGGATTGCTTGATCGATACGAACATGTTGTTGCTTCAGTCGGCTATGAGCACATTGAGGAACATATTCGTTTGCAGTGTTCAGGCCAGTGGGCAACACCCATGATGGACGAGCTGAGGAAATGGACACAAGAGAGGCTTATACCATGGATGGTCGTCATGTATGGCAGAGGATCCCAGAACCCGAACGAAATCGCTGCTTTGCTACAGAGTATTGGCCAAAGATTCGAATATCATGTAGCAAAGACCGTTTGCGATCTGAGGTCAGGCTATAACTCACTCCTTCTTTTCAGTTACTGATTCAGCTCCAGGACATCGGAAATATTCGACATTATAATCGATTTTCCCGAGTCTGCTGGTGCATTGGCTGACCTCAAGGTTTATCCACTTTGGACATGCATTATTCAGGCTAAATATTGCATAGGAATGTCTCCCATTCGTAGACCAACGTGCTACATTGGTCCAGAGCCTCCGGAAAGCGTCAGTATCTCCTTATATGGCGCGACATAATTCCCATTGTTTGCAGGAACCAGAAGCGGTTGCTTCACCCTGGCGCCGACACACGTCTGATTCTCAGCCAGTATGTTGCCACTATCAAATGTCTTCGCATAATAGACCCGCCTGGAGTGCTTCTTTTCAAAGTAGCCGATCCAATTCGACGGTATCTGAGGTATGAAACTATTCCGCTGATAATTCAGCCAGGCTGATCTCTTTGAGGTAGAGATCGTCCAGATACTATCCGCTGCATTGTTTCAAACCTTGTTGGGGAAGACGACGGCGAAGGCGGTGGTGGAGATTCTCTAGTCGACGAGAATGAACCCATTGTTCCACTACAACAGCCGGATGTCGAAGATTACAGTGATATGAACTGGGACCCAGAGCCAGTTGATGCAGGTCCAGACTTTCGCGCAAATAAGCCTAGCGATGTGATTAGCACTCTTGTTAGCATCTACGACTCGAAGGATCTGTTTGTAAAAGAGTTGCAGGTCCTTTTGGCACAGCGTCTATTATCTATCAAGGATGGAGAGGTGGATAAAGTTGAGAAGGAGGTAAGCGAAATTCTCTTTAGTTGGGCCGAATATCTTGACTGACCTTATATAGCGGCGCAATATTGAGATTTTGAAAATTCGATTCGGCGAACCTGCGCTGCAAGTTTGCGAGGTCATGCTCAAGGACATGACAGACTCGAAACGAATCGACGGACATGTGCAATCTCAAAAAGCGGTGAGGAATCGTCGTGATATTTAGTCTTGGACTCTTTTGACTCGCAATTCCAGTCAATTGTCCATCCAACTATCATATCACGCCACTTTTGGCCGATGCTGGAGTCGAGTGATATTGTCATGCCTGGGCAATTCCAAGCGTTGGTTTTCACTTTTCTTCAAACGGCATTGGTTAACATTCCTGGCAGTCTTCAAGGCGAGTATGCTGCGCAATTCAACACTTTCAAGCCAGACAAGAAGCTCCGTTGGTTGCCTCATCTTGGCACGGTTCACCTCGAGCTAGAACTACAGGATCGGAAGCTGGATGTAAATGTGCCCCCATTAGAAGCTGCCTTTATCGAGCTATTTTCAACAAAACGTGAGTGATACAACAGTTTTTTTGTTTGCTAACCATTATTGCTAGCGCTTTGGTCTATCGAGGAGCTTATCGCGCAAGTTGGTACTATTGACAAGCCTGCTGCTCTAAAAGCATTGATCACATGGGTCGATATGGGAGTATTGAAGGAAGAAGAAGGCACAGAAAACATGTTCAGACTTCTAGAGATTCAAGAGAAGGTTGCTCCGCGTGAAAGGACTCACGGTAAGAGCCTCCGCTACTTCGTTCGAACCAAACTCAGAATAACTATCCAGCCATGGCCACAATAAACGACCCTCCTCCGTCAGTGATGCAACAGCAGCAGATGGAACAGATGAAGGTCTCTTGGAAGGTTTGTAGGTCCAATAAGACAAACAAGATTGCTCACTGTTGTTTCTAGTTCGTGGAAGGCATGTTGACAAATCTGGGAGCGCTACCCTTGGATAAAATCCAGACAATGCTCAAGTTTCAGCCGACTTATGACCAGACGATTGAGCAGCTCGCGTCGTTTATGGAATCTGCTCGACGGGAAGGGCTTGTGACGGTTAGAGAAGGGTATTGGAGATTGGCCTCCAGGTGACCTTCTTTGTAAGAATAAAAATTTGTATGACCGTCCACCGTTCGCCGAAGCAGTCCATCAAGCAAAGAGCTTGAATCCGTGCATAATCTCGTCACGCTTTTTTGCTTTTCCCTGACCAATTGACCAATTGTACCAGTCTCGTGATACCCCCGTGCGGCCGCTCCCTATCTTACTCATTTCGGCGTCTTCTTCACGCTCAAATTGTCACGAGAATCGTATTTCACGACTCTTCAGTCAGCTCTAGACCGTCGAAAGCATGATATGCTCTGTAAGACGCCGTTGTTCTTCGTCCGTGACCGAGATTCCAACGCGACTTTCCCCGGAAAGACGTGAATCTTCAAGACCACTGGTCCCAATTCTGACCTCTTATAGCAAGGCTTTCCGTCAAAATGTATTCTGGGAGTTGTGGTGTCCACATCGGCTACAGCAGCGCCGCTCGAACTAAGAAATCCAGCCAGGAAACAACTTCTCTTCTTCTGAGATTCCGTCTTCTTCCTTGTACCTGTCCACGGTCTCGGTCAAGGGACCTTTGCCTCGGAGCTTCTTCCGACTGACCTGTGAACGCGGCCTGAACACTATAAATACAGAGCTATTGGATGCCTCTCACCTCATCCTCAGGCCTTTCCACCATGCCAATTACTCTCTCGCCTCCAGATTCTGACACCAAAGTCTTCAAAGTCGCAGCGGTCCAAGCTGAACCGTACGGTGTCTTCTTCCAGCCCCTTCCACTTGTTTCTCACTCGTCGTCTGTAGTGTCTGGCTCGACCTTCAAGGCGGCGTCGACAAAGCCATCAGCATCATCAAGGAGGCTGCTGCTGAGGGTGCTAAAGTCATTGGCTTTCCCGAAGTTTTCATTCCAGGCAAGTCTTCAGCAGCTTCGAATGTCCTTCCCTCATGATTGCTCGTAGGATACCCTTGGACACCATGGGCCCAAAACTTTGTCGTAGCTTCAAGCGTCCTGAAACAGTACCAAGCCAATTCTCTTGCGCTCCATTCTCCCGAGATGGAGCGTATCTGTGAAGCGGTCAAGGAATCCGACGTCAATGTTGTCCTCGGTTTCTCTGAGCGCGACGGCGGGTCTCTATACATCGCTCAGGTCACCATTGGCTCTAATGGAAAGATTCTCAACCATCGCCGAAAAATCAAGGTGAGACGCAATTTCCACAGTTGTTTGATGTAATGAGACCGCCGTGAACAGTCTTCTGACCTTAAGTCACAGCCTACTCACTACGAGAAGACCGTCTTTGGAGATGGAAGTGGTAAGAAATTGCTTCGATTACTTCTCCACTGCTTAGTGACTACAGCACAATCCATTTACAATGTGGTTCAAACCGATTATGGTCGTATTGGGTCCCTGAACTGTTGGGAACATATCCAGGTACTAATGATCACTCTAAAAGGTTTCTACAGTCATCTAACTATAGTCGCAGCCATGGCTCAAGACTCACTTTTACTCTCAATATCCGCAAATTTTTATCGGTAGCTGGTGGCCAGCATTTCCACCTCATACCGGAGGCTCTCCTTACATCGTCAGCGGCGAAGCATCCAGCCGAATGACCCAAATGGTCGCAATGGAAGGCGGTTGCTTCGGTCTCGCCTGCTGCCAGATTGTCAGCGAAGCTGGCGCAGAGAAAATGAAGCTCACCGGCTTTCCTTGGTTCGTGTTTCCCGGTGGAGGTTTCGCTACGGTGCGTCAACTTTTTTTGAATTGTTGGTGATGTTTGTTCTTAGCAAGGCGACAGATCTATGGTCCTGATGGGTCTCAGCTCAGCAAGACCGTTGATGCTGGAGTAGAAACTATCGTCTACGCCGACATCTCTTTGGATAAGATCAATGAAGTCAAGCTCGTCGCTGACACGATGGGAAATTAGTGAGTGGATTCCTCGAACCTTGCTTTGCTCCCGTTGACGCGTTGAAGCTCCCGTTTTGACCTGTTCCATACCGAGGCACATGGCAACAACTGGGCCCCGGTCGTCTATGAAGATGCACAAGAAGCTCATGCAACAGAAAAGAAACAAGGAGAGATTAATAATGCTGCCAACAGCCGAATCTTTACCTCCTCGTCGGCTTAGTTTGTGTTAGGCTATTGGTGCATTGATAGGATCGAATAAAACTATTTCTGCCTCTGCCAAAACAAGTAAAATATAAGCGACGCCAGCAGGATTTGAACCTGCGCCCTCAAAGAGGAACAGATAGATAAACAAACACGCAGCAGAAATATTCTAATCTGTCGCCGTAACCACTTGGCTATAGCGCCATACTAGATAACTCCATTTGGCCTTATCCAACCTGGAACTGAGATAACTTTTGACAATGGAGGAACAATGACCGAAAAAAAAGAAAGAAAGCTAAGTAGAGTAAGAGGAAGCCGTCGTGAATGAGCATTGCGGATTGATGAAAAATTTCAAAACCAGCAATGTGGTGCGTAATTATGCACGTGAGCGCGAGTTCTCCACCACCGTGACAAGTACTACTGAGAGTCGTGCCATCGATTTCAAATGGGCATGATATGCTGCTACTACTGCTGCAAACAATTTCAGGCAAGTGAAGCGAAGCGATGTGCACGCTGTCGGTCCGTGGTTTTCTTTGAGCCATGAGCCCTGACCTTTTGCTTACTTGTAATCCACTTTCAGTCTCGTAACCTACTGCGTGAGTGGCTCTCAATAATATCTGTTACAGCCTTGATTGAACCCTTTTTCAGTCCAAAGAGTGCCAGAAAATCAGTTGGAAACTGAGCCACAAAGACATTTGCAAAGTTCATCCTTCCCTTCTGGCGTCACCAGATTCAGACAGGCTGCGTCAGAAATCCGAGATCGACAAGTCTAGTCGTGCAGTGGTAGACCTCGCGATAGACACAGGATTGTCACGCTGGTTAAAACAGTGGCGAAGGTGTTTTCTGCACTTGGGCGACGATCTGCCTGGATCTGGCCAACCATCCGCCTCAAAGAGTTTTCACACACTGGTGAGCTCATGCCTTGATTCAAACTTCGTTGCATTCACCTTGATCAGCATGCAACTCGTCGTGCAACCAACCGTTTTTCAAAACGATCACACAAAAGCTACGAGGTCTGTTCGAGTCGAATCCTGGGTCAATTTCATAAAATTCTCATCGCTTTTGTACAGGTCACCGACGCTCGGGTTGTTCCTCTTGCAGACATCTTAGCAACTTTCCCTGATCTCCAGGTACCTGTCGACCCAACCGACCTCACTCGACTCCGATTTGTGGTTATAATGGAAATGGAAAATGAAACAACAAGGAAGTGCGAAGAATTCGGCTTGTACAATGGGAATGACTTGGCCATTGATCAGTGGCGGAGAATGAACAAGACTGCCAGCGCCGAACTGGGAGGTGACTCGAATGACTCTCAATGGTCTCGATCGCTGCGACATTGTGTTTCCCATCTACGGCCCAAAGACGTGGAAAATAATTGGGGATCGAGAAACAGATGAATATAGAAATCTATTTTGCAGTAAATATACAGAGAATCACTTTGCTACGGACGCTAGAATTCGAGATGGCAAGTCCAGTATCCAAATCTCTCCAGTGAATTGCTCGTCCCAGCTTCAAAGCGCTCCAGTTTCGGTGACTCGGAATATTTCCCAGCTTCAATGCCCTCCTCTTTCTTTGAAGATCTTTTGCCATTTCCCAAGGAGCACCAATTTCCGCAGCCCAATCATGTCACCTCTATCGCAGTCTAGCTGACCATTCCTGTCTCGACGGCACTGAATCATGAATCCACTGATGCCTGAGAAAGCGTGATTCGAGGTCGAATCACTCAGGACGACTCGAATACCGCAATCCCAAACGATCCAATCGCAAGTGGCCCCAATTGCGCAATTAATTCCGCCACTAACGTATATGATAACCACAGAAACAAAGGTCGACAGGTATTCGAGGAGCTTGTCCACGAAATCAGGGACATTTGAACCGTAATATGTCCCCAACGAAAGATGGGTGAGATTCTGCTGGTCTTTTAGCAATGGGAAATCCGGTATCCCGCCTGGCGATGTCGATTCATCTTGAGGTTCAGCTCGAGATGTGTTAGGGAAATTGGCCGTCCCCATTCGATGAAAGGAAGAGGTTGCTCGACTCGAGTTCAGAGTTGAATTGAGATAAACTCGTTTCAGCGGGCTCATACTCAATTCCACGACCACACTATCGCTAGATTTTGGACGCCTGTACATGTTAATAGCATCATGACAAGAGACTCCTTGCCGTTGAAACAGCTCGGGCCGCACGTGTCAAAGATCAATGTCTGGACGTGTTCCGCGAAGAAAGCCGCTGGTTTCGGCGAATGTCGAATCGTCCTCGCCAGCCGGTCCAGTGGGTAAGATTTCTTGAACACTATAAATCGATCAAGCAGAGGTTCAATCCTACGAGAGGAAATCAGGTACAACCTTAGACCGAAGCAACCCAAGTGTACCATCGGCGAACCTGGCGCGCGACAAAAACCAGTTAGTAGGCAAATTTCGGGTCTGAAGTAGCTGCAGACTCAAATATTAGACGAATAATGTCGTCTGCTGATTCTGAGAGAGGTTGCATGGTCTTGGGCGAGTATCGTCGCGTACGATGATGATGGTTGAAGTCTGAGTGCTAATATCATGTGATCAGTCCCAGTTGGGTCTCTTCAGTCGCGCAGCTCAAAGATATAGAAAACAGCTTGAAGGATGAAGAGACAGATGAACATAGAAAACTGTTTTGCAGTACATAACTACATATTTGGTCCCAGTCTATCCCATAATAAATTCATAGAAGTGAGAATCAAGTTAAAGAATCAACTATTGATACGGGATTAGCACTTGTAGTCGAGACAAAACGGTTGACTTACCAAGGCCAAGTGACCGCCTGAGACCGGTCGTGCTCTGAAGCCCTCCGCTGAGCCAGAGATTGTATCGTACAAATCTGGGAATGCATTGGTATTCTTCCCATTGGATAGATACTTCTTGAGAGAGGTGATCAAAGCATCACGGAGAGACAGGTCGGTAACAATGGCACTGGTCCATATTTCCCAATCTGTCACTTTGTTAGGCAAGTTCAAGGTCGAGCAAGAGACATACCGGTCTTGGTATAAGTGTGTCTGCAGAACGTCAATGGAGCCCAGCATGATAGTTTAGGAAGCTTACCTACCTTGTATCCAGTGGAACACCGTATTCATCTACCAGACGAGTTGGAAGACCAAGAAACAAAAGCAAGATGCATGCTCACTGATTACAGTCTTGTACCAAGCAGTTTCTGAATACTTTCAATGAATAGAACGTCAG